GCTGCTCAATTTCAGCAGCGGCTGAATCTGGGACAGCTGGGGTGCTGCTGGGTTGGTCCCACAGCCCCGAGGGGCGGCACTACTGGACCTACCCGGCAGCACTCCAGCTGTTCTGCCCCCTGCTTCCCGGATTCCGCGCTGGTCAGTTTTAGCAGCGGCTGAATCGGGGAAGATGGGGGCAGAGCAGCTCCAATGGTCCGGCTGCCCGGAGCACTTCCGGGTTCCTGTTGGTGCCGGACCATCAGGAGTGCCGGACCATCAGATGCCGGACCATCGGAGTTTTACTGTAATTCCAAAATAGTTATTTCAAAATAACAGCAGTGGGGATACTCTGGTGCCGCTATTTTAAAATTATTATTCCTCAGTGCTTCCTGAGGCTTAAAGGAACTATAATAGAGCCTGTCTTGGACTAATTTTGAGGCTTCTCCATAGTGTGCACACGCTAGTTCAAATTTGTTAAATCGGGAGTTAAATTGAATTTACTAATTTCAACATAGTTTGCTAGCGTAGACATGGCCTTAGAGGGGTCTGTCTACAGCCATCAAGCATCCATCAAGCATAAGGCCTTGGTCAATGTCTCAGGCTGATGACATACCTGTATCTTCCCCTCTCCGGGAATGATCTGGATAAATTGCTCTCCTGTAACTTTCTCAGCCACTGCACCTCAGTTTGCATATTAGGTTGGAGTTAGCACCAGCAGTATTTCTTGAGTTTCTGAGCCTCTATCTGCGGTGGACCACTGTCTTCTCACATTTTGTTAAAGATGAATACAGCATATTAATATTTTTATAAAGCAAATTTCAGTTGAATTTGCTTATTACAATTCTGTAATAGAAAATGAAGAAAGGGAATAATTCTGAAAAAGTATTAAAATATTTGACATCTAAAGAAAATGAGGGTAGAGCATAACTGCATATATAAAATGGAAATACAAATTTCTTTACTCTGTAACAGCACTTTGAGAGCAACTGGTAACTGCTATGTAAGAGCTAAGTATTTTATGGACATAGAACCACGTTAGTTGTTTTATAAAAAGTGAAGGCAAATTCACAAATTAGTAAATTCTATCAAAAAGGAGGGCGGGAGAAATCTCATTGTATGGAAATAGTTCATATTTAGACATTCGCTTGTACAGATGTGATTGTGAGATTTCAGCAATGTATAAACTACAGGTTGAACCTCCTTAGTCCAGCCCCCTTGGGACCTGACTGGTCCTGGATGAGGGATTTTTCCGGACTAGGGGAGGTCATTTTGGACCTCTGCCACTGGCCCCCCAGCCCAGCCGCTGGCCTCCCAGCCAGCTCCTCATCTCATGCTGCCCTGGGCGGCCCCACCATCAGCTCCCTGTGGGCAGCCCACTGGGCGGCCCTACCATCAGTTCCCTGTGGGCAGCCAACTGCCCTGCCAACCCCTTACTGCTGGCCCTCCACTGGGACTCTGTGGTCCTGTAACATCCATGCCAGACCATGAATGATGCTGTACGAAAGAATCCCAGTTAAAAGAGTTTCAACCTGTACATTCTTACTGTTGTGCATACACCAGTGAAAATGCATAAATACAATGTATCATTGTAGATGTAACCATAGAGAGTCCATTGTTTGAACAACTTACTTCATCCTAGAAAATGGTGTTTACTTTCTTGTAGTCATATAACATCATTCATTATGCAAAAATAATTTTCTTCTTATTACACACTTTAATAGTTCAGATTGACATGTTCTAATTACCTTATTAAGAGCTCTTGTGTGGCCATTTCATTTTGCCTAAAAGTCTTATAATATTAGCCTTGATTTGCCTCACTGATACCAAATACAAGGCATGTTTGAAGGAATTATTCAGAGAGAATATGCCATTATACTAAGTGTGAAAGGAGTCTATCTCTATATTTTGACAGATTTTCTTTAACTGCTTAGAGAAGGCCTTCCCAAAAATGCTAAAGTATCTAAGGGCCACTTAGCATAGACCACCTTAGAGCTAAAAGGAAATGTATAGTAATAATGGGCTATACTCAGAACTTTCCTAGTAACCTGTTGTGTAGGAAATGACCATTATCTTTTGAAAAAACTTTATAAATGCATTAAAATATATCAATTGTGGAAACTGTAAATCAAAGGTTTTTGTCAGATATTAATTTGATTTTAGAGGTTCTGATCTCTCTTTTATTACTGATTCTTAAGTGCCACCTGCTGGGCAAAAAGCAGAAATGGGAACGTAGTCTTTCCTGTCTCTAATTCCGATTTGCTATTCTAAACTGAAACAGATTTTTAAAAAAAGCTGTGTGGATTTTATCATATAGAACATACAGATTTCCAATTTTAATGTACAGAAAACTAGAGAATCAGTGTACTAGAGAATTCATGCCTAACACATTAGCTATTCAGATTATTTAAATCAACTCTCCATATTCTAGTCCAGGTCTCTGCAAAAAAAATTCAGAAAATACCAGACACCTAAAATGTCCAGTACTTTCTGATTTTTTTTTCTCTGGACAGGAGGCAAAAATTCTGAGCTGACCAGCTCAATACGAAGGCAGCCTGGCAACCCTAGTGCTTACTGGGTTCCGCAGGGGAGCTTTCTGGCCCCACGCAGGGAGGCAAGATGGCGGGCGGCTGCCAGCAGCCTGTTAAGGCCAAAAAGCCTCACCACACGTTTTTTAAAGGGGCCACGCTGTTTTGTGGGTTTTTTCCAGTGTTTTTTTCTGAAACCATCTAGCAACCCTAAGCAATCTATGGCTCTCGAGCTAAATATGGGTCATTATGGAACCAAATATGGCTCTTTTGTCATTCCCAAAATACATGTAACTTTTGAAATTAAAATGAAAATTAATTCAAAATTTTAAAAATGTGTAAGTACTCATGTAGCTTGAATGTGTGCATGAACCTGAATTTGACCAGTTATGATATGTGAAATGTGTGAAAAGATGCAGCAGTAGAAGTCCTATTATATAAAGTCTGTGAGTATAGTGTTTCATTTATGCTATTATTAATCATCATGTTAATTATCAATAATATTAAGTTGTATATTTTCAGTCATGCAAATGGACATTCTTATATGGCTCTTTGTTGACCACTTGTTCTGAATTTTGATGTAGTTAGTCTCTTTGGTTTGAAAAGGTTGCTGACCCCTGTACTAGTCATATTATACCTAACTGATAAGGCCTTTTCTATAATGGTTCTTTATCCATCTAGTAAGAACCAACAGTAATAGTTACATTTTTGAGACAAAAAATCACTACCAATCCCTGTTGGACTGATAGGCCACAAAGGAACTCTATTACACTTTTTCTTAAAATATTTGGGGACTGGTGGTTGTCACAGACATCTGCATACTATGTTCCTCCAATCCATGTCATGTCTTTATAGGAGTCACTTACTTCACCCTGAAGCCAAAAGGACTTTGGGGGAGGTCAGCAGCAACGTGGGAGGATGGGGAGGAAAAGAGGGAGGCTAGTGTCCAAAGTCTATATATTTTATACTCAATTTAAAATGAGGATTGTTTTATCTGGAATTAGATGGGTAATTGGGTATAGTTGTTTAACTTTGCAGCAGATTTGGACTACAGGCTTTTGTGGACAGAGGCTTTGTCAACAGTATCTGTCGACAAATATTTGTCAACAGATACTGTCAACAAAGCTTCTGTCGACAAAGAACATCTAGACTACAGCCAGTTCTGTGGACAAAGAAAGCCGCTTTTTCGACAGAGAGTCTAGACGCTCTCTTTTGAAAAATCACAGTGTGGCTGCAATAAAACCTTTTGTCGACAGAGCTCTGTCGACAAAAGGTGTTATTCCTTGTAGAATGAGGTTTACCGCCGTGGACAAAACTGCCGCGTTCTGTCAATTTACTGTCGACAGAACGCGGTGGTAGTGTAGATGCAGGAATAGTTTTGACGACAAAAGTCCACTTTTGTTGACAAAACCCTGTAGTCTAGATACACCCTTGGGTATTTTGGCCACTTATTCAACAGGAATGAATGGTTAACTCTTGTTCATGATCAAATGTATCCAACACACAAGCATGTTGACATCCCCAGTGTTCAAAACAAATAGAAAATCTTACAAAGCTCTCTTCCTAGAGAGAGTAGCTTCTGAGACAAAGAAAAATTGAATATTTCCAATTTGGATTCAGTATAATATCAGTAATATGGGTCTCATCAATAGCAAATACACTTCTCAGTTTATATAACATCTTTCATTGGATTATCTCAAGGGGCTGCACAAATTTTAATGAACTTGCTTGGCACTTGCATGAGTTGGGCCTTTATGATCTCCACAGTTGGTGAATTCAGACGCACAGAAGGTTAACAGCTTACAAAATTTACACAGCAAGTCATTGGCAATCTGAACTGGAAGAAGTCCGGACTCCCCTTTCACTGAATATATTATTTGTTTGAAGTCCAGATATTTAGCTGAAAAAAGTTAAGCAATTAAGACCATAAGAACAGCCACACTAGGTCAGAGCAAAGGTCCATCCATGCTATTAATATATATTATAATAATAATGGATACAAATGTTTAATAGTTATGCTTTGTTCTTCCTTATTTTTCCTAACTTCTTTCCAGGCTTTGAATCTCTTTGCCTCTTTCTCATGATCTTTTTTTTTCTTTAGGAAGTTTCTTAGCTATCTTGAGATTGTAATAAAAGACATATTGGCTCCTAATCTGCAGTGGCATGCTGGAAGAACAGCAGCTGCCATCCGCACTACAGCTGTATCATGCCTTTGGGCTCTTATTTACGGTGAAATGCTTTCACCTAAAGAGGTAAGCTTCCTCTTTCCCAACAAATGTACTTCAAAGCCTAGGCAGGAAAATAAAAGACATACATAGTAAACAAAAACTTGTCCTTTAAAAATACTCCTTTTTAAAATGTGATGTTTTAAGATGTTGGCAATATTGTTGTATCCATGTTGGTCCCAGGATATGATGGTGAGTGAATATCTTTTAGTGGAACTACTTCTGTAGGTAGAAGGGCAAGCTGTTGAGCTTCACAGAGATCTTCCTCAAGCCAGGTGAAGGTAACCCCAGAGGCACAGCTAAATATAAGGGGAACAGATTGCTAAGCAATAAGGAGTTCACATTCATTATAGAAGCCCACTTAAAATTAACACCTCTGCAGACTTAGTGGAAAGGAGCATAATAGTCAACAGGGTATTTTACAGATTGTTGTAATGAGCCATAAAACCAGAGTCTTTCTTAAGTCCATGATTTTCAGTGTCCAGTAGAGTTATGAATTTAAGTTCCCAGGCTTGTCTTTTTGAAGATGTTTTGTAGGTTTTCTTTGAGGATGAGGACTAGGGTATAAAATATGGAGTAATCACTTTGTGAAAAGTATTCACCCACTGATGACAGGGTGTTTTGTCTCTTATTTTCCTACATGAGTTCATTTGAGACCATAGTGATTGATTGTTTCACCCACATAATTGTTTTGGGGACATCTGAAGCACTGGCTGAAGTACACCATATGTTAGGATAGACATTTGTAGGACCCATGATTTTGAAAAATGTATGGTCTTTCAAAAGAGGGATGGGGGGGGTATTGATCTTTGTAGCAGTGGAAATATGGCTGCAGAATTTATTCTGTTATTCAGGCAGTTTGGTGACACTTTGGCTTCTTGTGTCCTAGTCTGTGGGGAACTTGCTTCAGATGCTGAACTTGAAGTGAAGTGGGGGCATTGGAGATTTGGAAAAGGATTATTTCAGGAAGTGGGTCCCACCAAGTATGGGTTGTAATTGGTTTGACCCTGTATGGCTTCAGTGTAAAGTAACCCAAGAAATATATTATCTGTAGCCAGGTACTCAGTTACCACAGAATATATTCCAAGCAGAAAGTCTTGGATAAACATCTTAACGCACTCGAAACTACCTTCACTAAACAAGGACATTCTACAAGAGAAGTAGATAACATCAGGGAATGGGCCACCCAAATAAAAGAGAAGCTGCTTCACTTCAGAAACCTCCTCCAACCTCATAACCCTAGTTGTCAACCCATACTGGAACCCTTAAGATTATCATCAAAGAATTACAGCCTATACTCGATAGGCACAACATCCTGAAAGAAATCTTTACTAAACCCCCTCTTCTGGCCTTCAGACACCCTTCTCCCGAGCTCCCCACAGACCAGGACACAAAAAGTCAAAGTAACCCCAGATCTTGCCTAAACAATAGATGCAAAATCTGCAGACATCTCTCCTCTGCTACAAAGATCAGTATCCACCCCCCAACACACCTTTCAAGATTCTAGGTTTCTACCATCCCTATCAACACATGTGGATACCTCATCCTGTGCATCTAATGGGTCTCAGTAACAACTTACAGGTGAAACAAAATAATCACTATGCTAGCGAGTGAACTCAGAAAAATAATAGAAAACAAAAATACTCTATGACTTGTGGGTGAATACGAAGGAAAGGGAGCAGGTTTAGGCAAAGTTTCATCGAGGTCCAAGTGACATCTTTGGATCATATGGATTTTTCTTATATTATTCACTGTAAGATGAAGATGGTTATGGTGCAGGTCACATTGAGAAAATTGTGGGCCACAGTTAAACTACTGATCTCCTAACATCCCTCCCTTATTCTGCTTAACATTTAATTAACTATAAAGAAAAGTGGCATTAAAAGTGATATTAATACTACTTAACTTCGGAGGAAGAGGTGTTTCTGTGACAAGCCCTGATTCAGCAAATTGCTTAAGTACAGGCTTAACTTTACATGCGAAAGCACTCTCACTGACTTTGAAGGGACTCTTTGCATGCTTAAGGTCTTGCTCAAGTGTGGGCAAAAGGGCCTCCGTGGGCCGAATTCGACCCACCAAACAGGTGGATCCAGCCCACAGAGGTCCTGCTGCTTCCCCACCCCAGGCCAATTAGGACCTGGGGGCAGGGGAGTGTGTGAAGCTTCCTCCCACCCTGTGAGCAGCATGCAGTGCATTGAAGTGCTGCACACTGCTCGCAGGGCAGGAGGAGACATCATGCGCTCCCGCGCCCCCAAGCCCTGATTGGCTTGGGGGCAGGAGGAGCATGCAAAGTTTCCACCCCCTTGCCCCCCACCCTGTGAGGCGCGCACGGCACTTCAAAGTGCTGTACGCTCGTGCAGGGCAGGAGCAGGGCGAGGGAAGCTTTGTGCAGCAATCAGGGCCTGGGAGCTGCGTGAAGCTTCCTTCCCCTGTCTCAGCCCTGCAAGGAGTGCACAGCACTTTAAAGTGCCACACGCTGCTCACAGGGTGAAAGCAGGCTTCCCATGCTTTCCCTGCCCCAGGCCAATCAAGGCCTGGGGGCAGGAGAGTGTGTGAAGCCTATTCCCACCCTGCCAAGGGTATGGGGGAAAGGGAAGGGAGGGGACAAAGGCATCCCCCACCTCCAGACCAGTTATGGTCTGAGGGTGGGGAAGCCCAGAAGCATTCTGACCCCACCCCTTCTGGATTAGGCCACACCCTTTCTGGCCTGGCCCGCGGACACTTCAAAAATTTTTGAAATGGCCCCCGGCCAAAAATGTTTTGCTGCATCAAGACCTTTGTACCTTCCTACAATAATGTGCAGTACAGAATATCTGTATATTACAAAGATAAAAATATAAAATGCAGCTGCAGGAATACTGCATGACAAAGGATTGTATTTTAAAATTTCCATTTAGAGCATGAGTGTTATCTACTAGGTACAAACATAATCATCTCCAAAATATGGAATTTTTATGAAAATGATTTAAAAATACACAAAAGCAAGTTAAACATATGCCTTGCCCCTTACACAACATTCAATTGCATGTTTCCCCATAAATGTTCATTACAGGACCGGCCTAATAATCTATTTTCATTCACCATACTAAATTGAATGCAAAAAATAAAACAACTCAAATGCAATATTATTATAAATATTAGTTGGTAATTCGTTTTTCAAAAATGATATTAAAGCAGATAGCATCTCTGTCAGAGATTCTAAGTTAAAGTAACTCGTACACTTATTGCAGGTGACTGAAAGGCTACTATTTTAATATTTTTTTATTCATTGTAGATTTTTAAACTGGAAGATGCACTGATGCATCAGATAATTGCCACATTGGATGAAGATTCTAAAATGACTCGAGTAATGGCTTGCCGTATTGTCAATGTTTTTTTAAACATCTGTGGGAAGCAGTTTGATGTAGAAAAACTCAACAACATTTATCCTGGTATGAATTTTTTTTAAATGCTGTTAATGAATCTTCCTTATAGAGGAGATGTCAGCAACTCCATAGCTAATATTGCTTTTGCTTTTTCACCTTAATCTGGGCTGTAGTGTCTTTGAGGATGTAAAATAATGTGACTGGTGATTAGTCGTACAGGCTGGCCCTCAGGCTTTTTTCACAATCTGCCTAGCCCTTCTGCAGTTTCACTTGACGTTAGTAAAGATGGAAACACTAGTGGTAGAATAGGAGGTAGTCTTTTTTTTTTATCACTGTGTCATTGTACCTCAGTTCTGGGCCAGCATGAGGCCTGTATGTGGCCTACATGAAATTGAAATAATACATAGCTTAGGTATGTGAATGACTAGTCGACTATTCAATAAGCAAATGCTTATTGGATAGTTGAGTCAACTAGTCACTTCCCCCCTCCTTTGCTGCCTCTATCAGAAAGGGGGGGAGGCGAAGCAGAGAGGGTACTTCAAAGTGGCGGTGCCACGTGGAGCCCAGGATCATCAGCAGGGGAGTCCACGGGTCCACGAGGCACTGCCATTTTGAAACTCTGTGGGGAGCACAGGGCCAGTGGGGACTGCTTTCATTGCTGAAGTGTAGCAACAGCGCTAGGGCTGTTGCTACACTTCAAAGGCAGAGGCATCCTATCGATTAATCGAATAGTCAAGGCAAATTGCATCAACTATACAATTAATCAATTACTCAAAATTTAACATCCCTAACATAGCTCTTGTGTTGGTCCTCTACATAGAGGGGTTATCCTGAGTGAGCAGTTTGCTTTCCTGTTCATTCATTCTTTCACTGTCCTGTACACATGCACTATCTAAAGAAGGCTCTTTCTGCATTCTTTTATCTGGTATTTTATCAGCATTTCTTGATAAACTTTCCCCTCTAATAATTTTATAAACATAAAAACTTTGGAAAGAGGCTGTACAGTTTTATGCATTTGACAGCATTTTTGTTTCACAGGATGCACTATTAATGTGCAAGTCTTTGAAGGATCAAGATGTGCTTAATTTTATCAGCTTTAAATATTCTCACCTGCAGTCACTGGGATAAGTTAGGGTGTGTAAAGTGAAGTGCAAGCATAAAATTTTTGCAGAATCAGTCTGAAGTATCATAGTGCTATTGTGTGTTTGACCACTAGATGGAACCTTTCTCTATAATATCCTCTTCTCAAAACTTGCCTGTTCCTCATCTGCATCATTCCCAGCTTAGATTGCATGAAGTAGTGTGCATGTTAACTATAGTGCAGGTGAAACACAGTTACATTATGCAAACAGTAGCTATGCTCTGCTTCTTGCCAGTGCTGTTCAGAATCATACTGACAACACACTGTGATGTCATGCTATAAATAGACTCTACTTCAAAGAGCAATGGTAGTAATGTTCTATATAGACACACATGTAGATTTACATGCAAAAAAATGGATAATTTTGCATTTGGATTTTCTATAGCACACATCCATATAGTATCTAAGTGCTGAACAGAGTGGTTATCAGGGGAGTGGGTATCAGGAATGGTGATTTTAAATGTCTCTTTCCCAAGTGGGGCACCACAGTTGTAATGTGTTTGCCACATAGCACAGCAAGAAACTAGCAACTCATTTTATAGGCATAAGTAATCAGTATTGTCACTGAACAATTATCAAAGGATTTCCTCTTCACATCGTACTGGAATCCGTGAGTGTAGTACAGGTGGGACCTCCCTGGTCCAACACCCTCAGGACCGTAATGGTCCCAAACGACAGAGTTTTCCAGACCTGGCTCCCTGCCCAGCTTTTGTGGCCCTGCATGCCACCACAGGCCCGCTGCCCCCAGCCCTGCTAGGGCTGCGCTCCCCAGCGCACTGACTCCGGCTGGGGCTGTGCACTCACCACACTGGGAGTAGGCTCTACTGCCTCTCGCCCAGCTGGGGCTATACTCCCAGCTATGCCATCACAACCAGGACTGTGCTGCCAGTCTTTGATGGACACTCTGCTGCCAGCCACATAGGGCTGTGCTCCCCCGTTGTGCTGGCTCTGCTGCTGCCAGGGCTGTGCTTGGAGAGGGGAAGGGGGGCAGGCTGTGTGCCCTGCCTCCAGCCCCAGTGTGGACTGTGCTCCCCACCACACTGGCTCTGCTACCGCTAGGCTGTGCTCCCCACCACCAGCCCAGACCATGATTCTGGCCAATGGGGGATCTCTAGTCCAGCAATATCCATGGTCCTTCCAGACCACAGATGTTGCCGGACCAGAGAGTCCCAGATTTTGGAGGTGCAACCTGTACCTCAACCCTGTACAAGTTTAGATCATTTCAAACTCATACTAATTTAACATACAATATTTTCTGAAATAACAATAATTGACAGAAATATTTTGTGGAAACAAATGTTAATGCTCCAAGTTCTAATTAAGTTCCCAGCTGTATTTTTATCATGCATGAGTATAAATTTATATCATCTTTATGAAGAGATGCTTTTAAATTAAAATCTGCTAAATCAGCAGTAATCCAGTAATAATCCATTATTATTATATACTGTCTATTTGGTATAGTCCAGGAACTCAAAGATGGGTGATAGAAGCAACCTAATAATCTTTAGCTTTTCACAGTCATGAAATACAGGTTTTTTTGTCTTATAATATAAAAGAAGAAGAAACCATTTGACTATTTGTCTTTTTTTTATGATTTCTCGTGTCTGTTCAGTGTTACTTGTTCAATGACATATATGCTTTCTTTTTTAGAACTCTTAAAGCGACTGGATGATGCTGCCCATGATGTACGACTAGCAGCTGCTCAAGCTTTAACTAACTGGTTTAAATGTTTAAGAAACGATGACAGAAAAACTGTACTTAAAAATAATATTGAATTTCTTTACCGAGAACTGTTAATTCATTTGGATGACCCTGATCAAAATATCCAACAGGCAATTTTAGGTAAGTCATGTAAGCTATAGTTCAACAAGCAATTTAAATTGAATAGTCAGTGTTTCATACAAATAGGTGGGTGGGTGTATTTTTCCTCTCTGGAAACTAAATACTCTAGCTTCTTTTCATCCCAAAGCATCTTTACACATATGGGGAGCACTAGTGACACCATTCATTCCTATCCATTACTTGTTTCTTCATTAAGCCCAGTCTGGTGGTACACCTTCATACAATGTTCTGCCATCTAGTCAGTTTATCTTCTACAGCAGGGCTACTCAACATGCAGCCCACGAGTGGGATCCTTTGTCCACTGGGAACATGCTTCACAATGGCGATTCAATATAATGGTCTTCTGTTGTGTTTTAGTAGTTAAATTCCTGAACTGTCATTGCTCATTAAAAGTGCTGTCATATGGGTGGAAATCGGGTAAATATTGCATTTTATTAATATCAGCAGAACTGATTTAAATGAGGCCCACATGTTGTGTAGTCTTGCCTTAATCTTTGTATTCATGCCTGTCAGTGTGGAAGAAGCTATTTGCATATATATTTGCATATATATGCAACTTAAGTTGCAGCATGTGAGTATCATCATGGCCCCCAGGGCTTCCAAAGTTGAGTAGTCCTGTTCTACAGTATCAGCACCACTTTAATCTTTACAATTGTAGCCAGTCCCATACTCTACTTTTACTTTCTACTCTCCATCTAACTTCTTCATTTACTTTAAAATCATTCATCTTCTGGACAGCTCTGATTTCTACTGCCTCTAGCCTTCTGATGTCTGTTTCATTTAATGCAGCTGTATTATTAGATTAATACTGTTAGTCCACAGTTGATAAATTTTGATAAATTTTCACTTTATTACCTGTATAATGTTATTATCAGTCCTTAATTTCATCAACTTCTGTGCAACATTTGTTGCTAAAGTGCACGTCCTTTTAACTTCACCCTCAGAACTGTCAACGTTGATCAAACTTCCTGGGTATGTATAAGAAATATTACTTGTTCTACAGCTTCACTGAGGCTACATTTCTCCATTTTATCTATAACTATTCAGACCGGTGGAATCTCCTTTCTTCAAGATTGGTATTGCTATTGCCTTTAGCCAGTCATCTGACATTTCCTTTTATTGCTATTCCCTTTTTGGCATATTTTTCTGAATCTGGTGATAGCACTTGTCCCACTATTTTTTCTTTAGCAGCCCAGCTCTTATATTGTCTTTTTCTTCAGCTTTCCTATTTTAAAACTGCTTTCCTGTTCTTTTTTTTTCTTCTGGTGGTGATTCAGTGCTGACATTCTTTCTTCTCTGAAAGGGGGTGACAGAGGAGGGATCAAGTGAGGATTACCTGTTGTGATCCCTCCTTCTGGGGCATCTGGTATTGGCCTCTTTCAGCAGACAGGATATTGGGCTAGATGAACCTTTGGTCTGACCCAGTAGGGCCGTTCTTATGTTCTCCCTTTTAAGGTGCAATGTTCATCAATTTACAAGGAATGTTTAGTATCTAGATTAACTACAGAGTTCAGCACTTTGTCAGAATACTCCTTCCGTACTTACAGCACATCTTCAGCATTTGCTGTCAGTTAACCGATAGCTTTAGGCTCACATCATCAGCTTAATTGTTCCATACAATTTAACGTTCTTGTTTTATCATTTTCATATCTTGTTTAGATGACATTTCCTCTGATTTCTGAACTGCTTCTTTCCTGAACTTTAGATTTTCTGATCTTTGTGATTTCTTCTCCACTTTGCACAATTCCTGGATGACTTCCGTTTTCCCAACAGTCTTGCCTTGCTTACACTTTTCCTGTAATGTTTTTGTTTGATTATTAATCCCAGATTTCCCTTGTTTGATTATACCTTCCAGGAACACAACAAATTAGGGAAATGTAATGGGGTATAGCACTATTCCCCATTAAATCACTGCCTCAGATCTGTCAGAAGTTACTAGTCACTGCAATGTGCTAGCTGTTGTGTGGCTTATGTGAAATGAACTGGTATTTCAGTCCATTTTCAAGTAGTTGGCTATCAACATTGCATTTACCAATATCAGCAAAGGGACCGTCCATAATTTATACAATGCATTGTGGGAGGTGCTTAATTGTGCATGTTTGTTTGTGTTACAAGGCATGAAGCTGGGTTTTGAAGATCACCAGAAATGTTCTTTGATTTATAATCAGCCACAGAGAGTACAGGGATTAAATTAGCATGAAGACTGAAATTTCTTACTTCTTAAGGTTGTTCCAGGTCAGGTTTCAGACACTTTCAAGCATGTGTAGAGAAGGACAAATCTTTTGATTACTATGAATATATGTTCTTTTTTTTATAGAAGTGTTAAAAGAAGGAAGTGTTTTATATCCAGCATTGCTGGCGAAAGAAATAGAAGCAGTTGAACATAAGCATCGAACTCCAGCCTACTGTGATCAGCTACTACAGCATATTCAGTCAACTGGGGAGTAGAATCTCTTGAGTCGGCAGCATCGTCTCTAGAGAACCGTGTTTGAACTTTACATGAACTGGAATTGCCTCATTTTCAACTCAGTAATAAAACTGGCTGGTCAATAGATAAGTGGTTCTTTTGCAGATAGAGTAGTGTCTTGTTTAAAAGTGTAATCAACACGCATTTCAACAGGACTGAGCATGCTTACAATTAGTAATACAAAACAGAATGTTTTAATTTAATTAATTCCTTATTGAAAGTATTTGAATTGGGGCAAGAATGCTCTTTGTGAATTTATCTGACAATATTTATTGTTGAGAGCGCTAACGTCCTTTTAGAAACAAAGCTCTATTTAATGAACCATCAGTCCTAAAACTGCATTGGCAAAGCTCATGTAGGCTTCAAGGCTACTGAGTACTCCCAGCTCTAGCAATTGCTCAACACCTTGCAGCATTAAGCCCTTATGGTTCTAATTTGCCATTGCTACCCAGGCACAATATTTAAATTGCATCAAGCAATACACTTTTACACAATTTTGTGTACTGATGCTCCTGTAGTACCGTCTTAGTTTAAAGCAGAGCAACTGACCCAGCGAATACCACAGAGTGACCAGCTTTGTTACTTACAGCAGTGCTATTCAAATTAAAGGTATATCAGTCACGTAAGCATCATACCTGGCAGTGCTTGCAGAATGGAACCTGTAGTTTCCTAAAGGCCTCCATGTAACTAGAGTCACATTTTGCAATTTAAAATAAAACCATTAATGTGTGGGGAGAGGGCCAGTATTTTTGTTCCCATAGTACTTGGAAATCAACTGAATTTCTTGGTACTACGCTTCCCTCTTGCAATACATAAAATGAGCCTATACTATTCTGAGCACATATGTCTTTTAAATAAATCTTCATATTGTCACTGTATTGTACGGTCTGAATAGAGAACAAATGAGTGAGAATATATTTAGAAATATACAATAAGGAATTAAAGATTATAAATGACATTAAAAACAATACTGTTTTGTTACAAAATACATTTTGAATAGAACTTCTATTTTTGTACTCATTAATTGCATGGTATCTGTATTTTTTATTGTTTACACTGTAGTGCCTTAAAGGAACAAGAATTTTGTTTTCCAGTATTGTGTTGAATCTGATTTTAGGTAATTAGTTTGATTATATATATATATATATATTAATATTAAGTGAATACAGTGTGGTTAGTGTCTTTCTGTATTTTGAGCTGTATAATTTAACACTATATTTAAAGTGCCTTTGTGAGTTATTATGGAGTGGTTTTCCATGGAGCAAAATTAACTTAAAGTGCAAAATAATGGTGGCCTTGATATCTAAAAACCTGCTTGTGGTTGACTGAAGATTTCTTAATATTCTTAGTCTCAACTTCCAATACTGCTTGGCTTATACATTGCTACATTTGCATTGTTTTGTTGGCCTGGAGGAGGAGAGGTGACTTTTTATTTTTATTATTGGGGGGGGGTAGGAAGGAGTAGCTAGTATGGAAATTACTAAATTAAATGAAAGTTTGTAAGAGGCTTTCCCCCTCACTAATATAGGCAGGTAAGAAGTTAACTAGCAGCTCATTAGAGCAAGAACATAGGGTAAGATCCAAAGTCGATTGAAGAGAGTGGAATCTTTTTGAATCAGGCCCACAGCAGGGAGGCATTATAAGGCTGGGGGAAAGCCCCAGAGGGGCCAGAAGTTCTCTTCTTCCTTATCCTCCCAATCTAGTGAAGAAACTGTATCAGGACACTCCAAGACTAGGAAGTAAGTGGAACTGGGAAACTGGCCATCTTGCTTCCAAAAGATTTTGTTTTCCTCCACACCCTAGTTGAAGCAAACAGCTTTTGTTAATTACAGCAGGTTTGGCTCAACCAAAAAGAGCTGTGTACCAGATTCCTTGCACTATGGGCCAAGGAAAAAAAAAAATGTTTATGCAAAGGTGGATGTGTCTTACATTGGCAGGGTGCCATTTTCCTTGTTTTATTTCACTTTACCTGCAGCTAAGTCCTAGGCCACTCTGTACTAGGGTTGTAAAATTTCAATTATTTGGCTAATCAAATAGTTGATGCAATTTGCATCAACTATTCAATAAGGGTGCTTCCTCCTTTGAGGTGTAGCAACAGCCCAAGGCTGTTGCTACATTTCAAAGGTGGAAGTGCTGCGGGGAGCATGGGGCCAGTGGGAGACTTAAGTAGTCCCCCGCTGGCCCCTTGCTTCCCACAGTGTTTCAAAGCGGCAGTGTCTCATGGAACCCAGGGTCAGCGGGGGAGTCCCCAGCTAACCCCAGGCTCCACATAGCGCTGCTGCTTTGAAACACTTGTGCAGCCCAAGGCCAGCTGGGGACCCTAGGCTGCATGTGGCGTTTCAAAGCGGCAGCTCTGTGTGGAGCCCAGGGTTTGACCCTCAGGCTCCATATGGTGCTGATACTTTGTAGCACCTACTCTTCTCCCCCCTTGCTCCCTCTTTGTGATAGAGGCAGCAAGGACTAGTCGACTGGCCTGTCTACTATCCAATAAGCATTTGCTTATAAGATAGTCCACTAGTTCTTCACATCCCTACTTTCAGATACTTTCAGAAAAAATCCTGAACATGGTGGGGAAAAAATTGGTTGAACAAACCCCCCTCCCCTCCTGCAGGGGAAAAATGTCCCCACGGGCCTTCTGTCTGAGAAAAACAGAAAATACTGGACATTTTGCAGTCTGGTATTTTCTGTTGTTTTTTTTAACTGGACAGAAGACACAATTACTGTCAGGGTGAAAACCGCACACCTGGCAACCCTTATCCATGCAGGGAAGGGGTGCGGGAGCTTCCCTTCCCTCCTTCTCTTGCAAGGGATTCCTCCCCTCCCTCCCCCAGCCTTTCCCTCAGGTCCCTTAACTGTTAAGGAGACATTGCGGGGAGCGTAGGGCTAGCTAGGACTACAAGGCACTGCTCCTTGCTGCAGCCAGCCTATTTCAGGGAAGAAGTTCTAGGGCAGTGGTCCCCAATGCGGTGCCCGCGGGCGCCATGGCGCCCGCTGGGGCATTTACATGTGCCTGCCATGTGCTCGGGGCTGGCCCCGCCCCAGGCATGTGGCACATGTGTGGTGCCGGTCCAAGGCGCGCAGCACATGTGCAGCACCAGCCCTGGGCGGCCCTGGCCCCAGGTGCGCAGCACATGGGGTCACCGCCCCCGGGCACGCAGCGCATACGCAGCCCCGCCCCCCGGGCACCTGGCAGCTCCAAAAGTTGAGGATCACTGTTCTAGGGCTTGCCCAAATGTGGCCACCCCTTCCTCCTTAAATGCACCTGATGCAGAGAAGGGGCTGGGGGTGATTCTCTTCCTTCCCACTCCTGCAAGGTATTCCCCACAAATACACACACCGTCCATCCAGTCCTGCATGCCTCCTTAACTGTTAACGCTCCTGTCTGCCAGAGGCTAGCCAGCCTATTCAGGGAAGATGTGGGTGGGAGGGGGAGAAGTTTACCTTGCTTCCTTCCAAAAGGTGCCCAATGCGGGGAAGGGGCTATGGAGCTTCCCTTCCCTCCCACTCTGGGAATGGATCCCTCCCTCCCTTTCCTCATCCCACACACCTGCTCACCACAAAAGGAGTTTTGCTGGCAACCTCTGCAGCCGCCTGAGCCTGGGAAGGAGCTGCAGCTTCTTTCACTGCTGCCTGGCTGAAATGCTGCAGGCCTCCAGCATGTGGAGCTTCTCCCTCTCGCCAGATCGCCTGTGGGCGCCTTTCCCACGTGCAGGAGAGGAACCTGAAGTATCTGGCCATGCTGCAGGGGAGGCTGGGGGAAATTTTTAAAGTGGCCCTGGGGGGGGGACACACCCACCCTCACCAGACGCAGCAGGGGAAGAATGTCCCTGCCGGCCTTTCATCCGAGAAAAACAAAATACCGGACATTTTGCATGTCCGGTATTTTCTGGGGTTTTTTACTGGACAGAAGCCACAATTACTGGACTGTCTGGGCAAAACCCGGACACCTGGCAACCCTACACATCCCTATGCTGTGAAGAGCTGTTAGCAAATGTGTATAATGTTTCAGAGTGTACTAAATGTCTGTAAATATAAACTTATTTACTGCTGAGTCCATATTGAGCTTTGCAAATACTATGCTGAGCTGGAGTTGAATGAATGCAGAAGCATGAGTTTGAGAAGCACCAGCATAGAGGTGTGTACTGGACAGAAGTCACAATTACTGTCAGGGTGAAAACTGCACACCTGGCAACCCTTATCCATGCTTCCCTTCCTTCCTTCTCTTGCAAGGGATTCCTCCCCTTTCTCCCCTCCCCCAGCCTTTCCCTCAGGTCCCTTAACATTGTGGGCAGCATAGGGCTAGCTAAGACTACAAGACTCTGCCATGCTTTCCTGGCTAACTGCTGGCTTGGGAGCGGAGAGTGGGCATGGCACAGGCATGACCTGAGTGAGCTGTACTTTAGCACTCATCACCTACTGCAACATTCCCCCGGAAGCAATTGTGACAGGGTGCAGTCACAGAAGATGCCAGAATGCTGACAAAGCCACTGACCTTTGCCTCTGCTCTCTGAGGCTTCTCACCGCCCTGTCCTGCTGGGCCAGATATCCTGGTCTCCCCTAGCCAAGGCACAGAGCTGAAATCACCACCCTACATTTTACAAGAAATATGCAAATGAGGTGAAGCATGGAATATCACCGCCTCATTTGCATAATTATGAGGCTCCGTTTTTGCGCCTCAGGCTTTTGTGCAAAAACTCCCTCTTGCGCAAGAGCTTTCTTCTATGTTTTTTTCAGAAAGAACAGCTCTTGCGCAAGGGGGCGGGTTTGCACAAAAACGGAACCTAATTATGCAAATGAGGCATGGTGATATTCCATGCTTTGCCTCATTTGCATATTTCTTGCTCCAAATGGGCGCAGTATAGACACAGCCTTCAGGTCTGAGGAAAATGTAGTTTTGATCCCAGCTTCCAAGGAAACCACTCCCCAAATGGGATCAGAACCCTAAATGAATTACTTAGGTAGTTAACAAGGAAAGGAAGATATACACACTGATTGCTCCCCCAGGTAACAATTAATTACCCTGGTCTTGGCAATAAATAAAAGTGATTTTATTAAGTACAAGCAGTTGGACTTAAAGTAATTGCAAGTGAAAACAGGCAGAGGAAAGTAGATTATAAATTTAAAGTAACAAAAAAAAAAGCATAGCTAGTTCTAACACTTATTACGAACTTACCAGCTAAGCCTCCAAAACACAGAAGTTCCTTTTTCCCCTGGAGTCTTTGGTTCATTCTCTTGGGAGTGACATGCCAGCCAAAGACAAAGAACTGAAAAACTTTGCATCTTAAATAGCCTTACTTTTAGGCAGTAAATCTCTCTACATTCCACCCATCCATGGAAAATTACCTGGTCAGACCCCTACCAGTTGGGGTGGTCACTTGATTTCCTAAAACCAACCACTGTTTAGAGACTGAAAGGACAAAAGAGGCTGTTTACAGGTGATCACCCAGGCGTTGGGAAACACCCTTGATGGCTTTCATTTGCACATTTAGAACTATAAAACATTCCATACCCCATATTTTTAACTTTACATACAAGAATGATACATACACGAAAATAAGATATACAGACCCAGCAGACTGAGACATTAAAATAGATAGGTTACATGAGGTATTTCGTCCAAAGCATCTTCAAGTTATGCATATTTGTATCTATAAGTCAGTTTCATACAGCATGGAGAGGACCATCACAGCCATCTCAAATTGTCATAATAAACCATCTTGTTAGTCTTTAAAGTGCTACAAAGTCCTGTATTTTGTTTCAGCTACACCAGACTAACACGGCTACATCTCTATCATAATTTACAGCAGCCTTGAGGTTTTTCTGTTTTCTGTTGGAAACCAAAATGTCCTCATAAAACAACGAAGTACAGAACTGTATAGCTGAGAATCTGGACCATTCAGACAGCTGTCTGAGGTTTCTTTAGCACAGGTTTTGTAGCTGATTATGGCAGAAAAAATATTAATTGCATTGAAAAATAAAAATGACAGTGTAATTTTCACCAATTTTGTTGACTGGTAAGAGCAAAATTCTTAGACGCGACAATTTGCTTTCACAATCTACCACCACCAGGGTCCTTTGGTTCAGCTATTAAGAATTAAATGTATTTTGAAGGTAGATTTTCTGGTAGACTGGTACCAGTTTTTCTACCATTTTAAACCAGCAAAATCAGGTTATAAACACAAAATCAAGGGCTATTATCAAAGAAACATCTGATCAAAATAACAGAGATACAGACAAAAAAGTTAGCTCTTATTCCTAACTTTCACATTCTTTTGGGTGAAAGTACACATTGAGGGTGTGT